TATGTTTGTTTAGACTTAGAGGGAAGTAAAAGCTGGCAGTTAAATAAGCAGTCCCACGAAACGACCTAGTAACGTTGCTTACGGTACATCTATTGCTCCCATGCGTTAAAATAGTACGGAGAACGAGACAAAACATTAGTGAAACAAAAGTTGCAGTTTACTCTGAAATAATTCGATGACCACCATAAACAAAGTTTCGGAACCACGTTTCAGGATCACCCTGTAGACTGCAGCGATACAAATCCCGTCGTACGACGCCAGACTAATTACTCGCGCAGCCAAGTCGATTCTATTAGGCCAATCCATGAGTAACGAAGCAATAAAACGAGACGTATACCCACCAATTTAGTACGGACGTGTCAATATAGACCTTTTTCCAAGCTATATCGTCTCAGATACTTTATATTAGTCACGTTATATCATCTATAAGTTAAGTCAACGCTTGTATATTAATTTTAAACCCCTCGAATGATCAACAAATTTTCAGAAAGCTACACGTTTGTACGCTAGGTGTTGCTCGCCGAACGAGCGAACGTAGAATTCCATTTCCGACCGCGTCCGTTGCACAATTCTTGCGGCGCGTCGGCGACAGAGCGCCTAATGACGAATCGCGCGTATTAGGACGCCAGGAGATGATTGATCATCGACTGTGTCGAGAATGATTAACCGACAGCGTCGTAAAGGCGCGGCTCTGCCGCGAGATTCTAACGAGACGGGGCTTTCCTCGCGGGAATTCTCCCGCTCCGCGAACGAGAAAAAGGAACGCCAGTTCCGGAAAGACACTCGCCACGTGGCTTGAACAGGCTTTCCACGAAGGAAGAGCAATTTCTGCGCTGGACGAGAAACGCGATCGCGATACGCCCTCGTTCCCAGCCGACCGGAGTGGGCCAGGAGTCGTTCATAGCGCGACAGAAGTAATTGACCGATTCCTAGATACGAGGAAATAGTAAATAAATAAATTTTCTGACGCTTCTCTAAAGCAAACGTTTCATGTATCCCTCGAGAGTAATAGAGAACATAATGATTTGTCACCGCAACAGTTAACACTAAACCCATCGCGACCGGTCAAATGATTTATATTTTTTTGTAAGAAATTGGACAAAATTCTGGTTAGCTTCCGATGTAAATAGGAAATATATGTATAGCAAAGACGAAAGAAGAGAATTTATAGTTTCCACTGTCTTAGAACAGTCTAACAACGCGTATTAAAAATAGTTAAACTTTAGACGTGTGCAGTTCCAAAACTACTAGTGTTTTATTAATTATTGAACCACCGTTGGCAGCGGCAAACCTTCCCCTTTAAAATGGTTTTTTGTTTTTGTTGATCCGACTTTCCGTTTCGGAGATATCGTAATTTATGTAAATGGTAATTTTTTTAATTCGACTGTCTCTGTCTTCGTCTAGCGGAGTCGGACCTCCTTGTCGCACGTGCGTGGTGCTGACCTACCCCGCGTACGTGACTGTCGTGACCCAGTTTCGGCGTAGTATTTCCAAGAATTTACTACGCCCTATTTACTATTTTCACACAGGCCCATTCATTGATATCAATGAACGTAAACAAAGATTCGGACTCTTATATCTCCGTAACTAGCCACCGCATCGACTTGAAACTAAAATCGCTATATCTCCGGAACTAATAAAGCTATCGACTCGTACAAACGCTCATTTTAAAGGGCATTTCATCCTCTATCCTATGACTATACCAACTACTATATTTTATGCTGTCTTCTATGTTTATTTTGACATTTACTTTGACACTACATGCCGAATGAAGTTTCAGCAATTCCTATCGATTATACGACTGGTGTGAGATAAAACTGAACCATAAATTGTTTATTTAATTGAAAATGAATTTAAATACAGGATGTTTGCGTAATTACTAGCCTGCATTTTTTCTTAAATAGTTGTCTTCTATCCGATGAAAATTAAAAAATTTGTTAACATAAAAGAGAAAGATATCTTACGAATAAACATCAAAACACAACTTTCTATACATATAATGCAAAAATTAGAAATACGTTGCCTCGTAAAAGAAAAAAAGGAAGACTAGTCATTTGACCAGTCATGGTATGAATGGGTAGGTTTAGTGTTAAGTATGTAAGGAAATACGAAAGTATTGCGGACAATTTCTTAATATTTTTCTAGGTTCTGAGATCAGTCAATAGTTTTGTCGCGCTAGAAATGGATTTCTGGTGCATTGTGCGACGACCGAAACACTCGACGAGCACAATGGTCCCGATTCGCGAGACGAGTCGATCGATCGCGATCGATTATCTCGTCTAATGAATGCGCAAACACGGATATCTGAAAGGCTGGTATGTAGTTCTCGTATCTGTCGGTGGGAGTCGAGTGCCTTTCATCGTCGCTATCGAGTTTTGATACATTCTGATCCAGCCATTATCGCGGCCGATGTTTGCGCTTCGATTACATTGTGAAATCGGTTTTCGATCAATTTTGTATTACTCGAACGATGTTTTAGCCAGATGGGTTTCAATCGAACGAAGCTGGAACGGTTACAACGATACGATCGACGAGTTTCCGTGAATCTAGCGCGAGTCTACCTAACCCAACCATTTTCAAACTTAAGCTCATCCTCGACCTTTAGCGCGACAAACGTTAAACGCGAGTTTTGCAAGAGGGTTTATGCAAACTGCGCTCGGAAGACAGAGAATTTGAACAAAATTTTCGCGACTCGTCCGTACTATTAAAGTCCTGCATGTAAATTTTCCTCACGACGTACGCGCTGTTGCGTCCCATCCGCGATGCACGTGCACTAAACCGCCTAGATTTACACGTACCCGCAACAACGAACGGCAAAACACGTAGACATACGTGCCTCGAGAGCGATTCACCGTCCAGCCTGTTGGTTACTTTGAAAGTAACACGTGTTGCATGACCAAACAGTAGATGGAAAACTATCTACGAGCTAAGACGCTGAGGAGCGGTTAATAAGACTCTCGAACGAGATTCGATAAACGCAGAAATCTGAGACTGTTGGAACAGTGAATCATTTGTCGGGCCTGGTTAAGGTTCTTGGAAACAAGGGCGGCCTGTTCCCCGTGAAACCACATTTTAGGAGGCCAATACGAGCCCTGTATATAACTTAACCGCAAGCTGAATCACTCTGATCCCAAAACCGCCAGAAATTTCAACTAGCCAGAATATCTTCGGCAAAGGGCAATCGAGGCATCAATTTTATTCTTACGAACTATTCCTATAAAGGGATACTTTGAGTATTCCCGGAAAATGGTAAATTATTTTAACAAAGATCCGTGTTGATACAATTTCTCTCTGTAAACTCTGATAGAAAGTTGTCGAATGGCGTAGCCTCATCCGCAGAAAGTTCTTGCTTCGATTCGTGTACTGTATTGAACTACCCGGTAAGAAATATCCGGAGTTTCGATTTACAGTTTTATAAGAAAAGCTTGAAACTTGCATATTTAGAATTGTGTGCTCGATAAAACTTATATAACGAAATAAACACGACACGAACGTTCTCGATAAATATTTCACATAATTTGCAGTTCCCCTGGAAACGTACGATTACGACGATCACTGTCGTCGGAATGGAAGGAAGTAGCCACGGGAGAAAGTACAGTTCGTAGCTGGCAATTTGCAAAACGTTTTATGGAAAATCTCATCGTCTAGATTTACAGTAACACTGATTGTTAAATAAAGCAAGAAGCATGTTTTTTTTCTAAAAGATGCCCCAGTTCATTTAACTATCCTAAAAGAGGGATTGCGATTCGGAAGGGTTAGGGAAACGCAGTTGCGGAACATTTGGTAAAACGTACAAATTCGTCCGTCTCGTTTCGGAAGGTTAACCAACAACAGTGAAAGAAAACGAGGCTCAACGATTTATCAGAGCTCCGGGGTGTTCCTCAAAAACAAAAAGGTGGCCACGACAATGGCACAGACTTTTCGTGGGAGCGCGATAACAATGCTCCCTTCGCGCGAGCCGTTCCGTTAAAAAGGGGAAAGGGAAAACGCTAGTCCCTTATTCCTCTCTCTTTCTTTATTCCTCGCCCCCGCGGTCACCATCGTTCTCTGTCCCGCCTCCCTTTGTCCCTTCTTCGCACACCGACCGACGACCTCCCGAGATAGCGCCAACCGAAGGAAGTAAACGGAAGACGGCAAGAAAAAATAGGGAGAAAAACCACGTGTAGGTAGTCGGTGCACTGCACTCGCGGGGTTTGTTTACAAGCCGTGGAACTCGACTCACTTCGAGTTCCTGGGCTTGGAATCGAACCAAGCCGATTCTCTTTTCTACCACGTTTCCCTCCGCCGCTATACTCTGCTCCCCTTCGCTCTATCGTTCTCTTCCTGTCTCCTCCGCCGCCCTTTTTACTCGCTGAGAGCAGCCCTCCCGCGCTCTCAACGATTCGCGTAACGAACGGCAGTCTGCGAGCGATGCACTCGCAGAAACGTTGCTCACAAACTGGGAACAATATTCTATACAGCTATAACGAAGGTGGACAAATCTGCTTCCTCGTACCGCTATAATTTTTCTATGGAATATTATTAGTTTCGTTGAAGAATATTCTATACAGATATAACTCTACGACGAAGGTGGAGAAATCTGCTCCATCGTACTACTATACGCTCTGAGCAAGGCTGCTACAGATGTAGTCAGATGTTTCGAATAGTAATCGCGCTAAAAGTAATAATTACTAAAGAAATTACTACCGTCGCTAAATTTGTACGAAACTATACCGGCGGCCAACGTGTTAAATAAAACCAGCCGAATCAACATTAATACACGCCTTCGTTTCTGAGTAATGCATATATCCCTGAGAGTAACGAGTTCCAAGAAGACTCTCGAGTGACTGCATCGTTTTAAAAACAATTCCACTAATGCCGCCTTGTCGTCGCGTGCATACCGATGAAAACTAGTTCGAAATAGAGACGAGCAAAATTCCGTTCCGATAATAGTCGATAAAACCGTGCTTGTTAAAAGCTTTTCTCCGGAGTCGCAAAATTAGAGAATTCCTGAGACTCACCGATGACCGTGTTGGCCGCGACTTCCTTAGCGGCGGCGGCGGCTGCAGCGGGTCCGTGGGCCAAGAAATCGCTCAGGGACAACGAGGACGCGATGATCTGCCGTTTCTCCTCGAAATTCAGGTAATCCAGACTGTTGCTCCTCTGAGGACCCGCCACGATGGTGACGGTCTTCGCCGCGTGATGATGATGGTGCTGCTGGTGGAGATTGTTCTCCGCGGGCAGATTACCGGTCTTCTCGTTATTGCCCTCGTTGGCGGCGGGACTGGGCACCAGGTAGACGCCGCTGACGCGTATGGACATCGTCGACGTACGATCCTTGAAACGACCGCGCTTCTTCCTCCTCCAGGGGCTGAGGATCGCGACCAGGCCCGGTAACGAAGCTACCGGGTGCTGGTCGGCTGGAACATCCTGACGGCTGCCCGGTCGAGAGGTCGGCTCGCGTCGCTTGTTACTTCGCGGCAGCTCCACGGCTCAGGGTTTAGTGAGTTCAGGCTCGGCGTGGAAATTTATGGGTTCCCCTGAGCGCTGCTGGCAGCGCGGCTACCACGTACAGCGTGCTGATCGACGATCTTCACGATCCTCTAAATCCCAATAACGCGGTTACACGCGACGCGAAGGAGCAGTCGAGAAGAAACCCCATCAATGAAAAGTTATCGAGGGCTTCCGTCGCGCGCCTCTACGGTTATTGTCTTCTGGCTCGTATAAAAGGTACAAATATAAGATGGCAGGATATTGCGTGGAGCGGACGATTCACGTTATCGCTTCGACGGATTATTTGCAGACTTCAGCGGAGTCTCGGGGACCTTGACTGGTCGTGAGTTACATTGGCACGTTGCGGCAGTCGTTTTCTCTTGTTCGCGACGTCGGGCGCCTACGATGTTATGGCACTGTACGATCCATGAAGGATAATCGGCCAGGATAGATGGTTCTAATCCCGCGTCCAGTGGCGTTCATTTACAATTGAAGCCAATCGCGACGAGGAGGCGCGAGTTCTTTTTTTTTTCTCTCTTTCGCTCTCTCTCTCGTTCTCTCTCTTTCGTGACACGAAGTAGCCACGGTCGACGAATCGTCCTGCGCAATGGGAACCTGGGTAAAGTTAACGATGATGCTGAACGACTCTCGTGAATGGCGTGCATTGTGCCGTACGGGAGTACCCGCGAACGATTATGTCCCCCGTCCCACGAAATGTCTCTCGCAGTGTCGCGGTCCACCGCCCCTCTAATTACAAACTGCTTAATTGGAGGCTACAACGCGCGGCCCTGATACGCAGCTTTCTGATCCGTTTGGGAAACCATGCTGAAATCGAACGCAACGTTCGCCGCTGCACAGCGTTCGCGCACCGAATCTCACCGTACGAAAATTTCCCGGTTGCACGATTTAACGAAATCACTCGACCATCGCCCAACCGGAACTCGAACGATACCGGAATTGGGGCTAGGGTTGGGACTGCTCGAATATTTCACAAACGTTTCAACTCGATCCCGTTACAGTTCGAACTTTCTCTGTATCATTAACAAATGATTTTGCTTCTAAATAAAATAACAGCAATATAATTCTTAATGCCTGATACATGGTATACCAATGTGCGACTCTTTTTAGCCTAGTTATCGTTAGTGAAAAAGAATAAATATTTCAAGACTAATTGCTGGTGTACTTGTAGATATTAATAATAAATTTTTGTACACTGAAACTCAAATTGAAGATCGACGTTTATTATATCTGCTATAAATTAAGTCCTTTTTAAAACTTGAATTTCATTTAATATTCGAGCGCCCACAGATTCGTATATTAAATTGTCTGAATGGTTTCAGCTCTAGCACGAACGCTTCTATACAGGCACGATCATTAATCGAGATTAAATGGTCGGTAATGAGAACAATAAATCGGAGAACGAGTGATTAATTCACGAGGCATCGATAACTTACAGTTTCCAAAATTTGAGCTGTAAATTTAGTCACCGTGAAATATTACCGGTGAAACGTTTGCTATACGATCGCCTATTACGATCTACTATTCGAATATTCTATTAATCAAACCAAGTACGTCGATAATAACTATAAGAATTGCTCGTTACGAAGAATTTAGTATGAATATTACTGACGTGAAAGTGATATAATAACAATTAAACACGTCCAACATTATTAATTGCATGAAACCAGGATACAATTATTGGCATTTATAATTACTTCATTAGGAATTTTTCAAGCATTGAGTAATGAAAACTTGAGTCTATGAATCATTGAAAAATGAAATATCAAGAAACAATTATCGTACACCTTCGAGGAACAGATATACAGCTGGCTGTACAGCTAAAGTTGCTGCGCTCAAAATGTCGTTTATGCAAAACTTGAATTTCACGGAATGCTGACGTAAGTGAAGCTATATTTGACTGTCAGTTATTATAGATCATACTAAAGAGGAAGTAATCTCTTGCGAAACGTGTGAATTATCTCTCAAGGAACACTCCAAATTTTACTAAGCACGCCTAGGCAATAATTAAATTTTCTAAAATCCGTAACGACGATCGCAAATGCATTTGAATTTCCCCGTGAAAAACTTGAAAACGTGAAAACTGATCTCATCGTATAGCGATGGAAAACTTCGTGAAATTCCGGCACACTCTGTTCCTTTGATCTTCCGCCAACAGGTTTTCATTTTTTTAAGCGTGCCGATCGATATAGAAAATAAATTGCTCCGAAATGAAAAATCCCGGTGCAAACAACGTTTGAAGACTTTCCAACGCCAAGAGAATATAGAAAAAGAGGCGTACAGAAGCTGTATCGATTAAATGTACGAAGTTTCATTGTTGACGTTTCATCTATACGGTGCACTGTCCTATAAATAACACCGATATATTTACCGAACAATCTCTCGTGTTTATTCTTTTCGCGTGTTTGTGAATTAATCAGCGGGACACGGTAGAATATCAATATCGCTGTTCGTAGGGAAACGGAAGCGATGTTATTGGGCGCGCAATAACGTTCCCGGAACGTTCGTAAACCTAACCGGTATTTTGCTCGAAAAGGCGTCGTGACGCCGAAGATCGTGACACGAGCGTTCTCTCGAGTATAGAGAGAAATATCGCCCAGCTGTCGCGTGTGCAAATAAAAGGCGAGTTTCGATTACGTAAAATATTGTAAACGTCGTCTGGTATGCGGCCGTAGCTACAAACACGAAGCCGGTTACGAATAACCTCAAACATCCCAGGCTCGTAACCGACCGCTAAACGCAAACGTGGTTACGGGTTTACAGCGGCGCGCGTAGAAAGCATATTCGTTTTTATCGCGGAACGGAGTAACGTATCGGAGGGGCAGGCATGGTGGCCACGGGACGGGGCGAGACGCATTTCGTGTACGAACGGCGGGACAACAACGAGGACAGACGTACTTTACGTTTCCTGGGGGGTCAATGGATGGCTCCGTTTGGCAGGACTCGAATAAAGGGACGTTTCCTCGGCGTTATATCACAGCGGTGACGATTCACGGGCAGGCGTCGCCACTCCTTCGCGGGACACCTGTGTGCCTTCTGGCTGCAGGTGAGAGGTGAGCGAGACGGAGAGAAAGGACGCAACGATTATAAACACAGAAGCACATACTAGGCGCGTACGCACAGAAAACACAGGTGCAAAAGAGACGGAGATATTTTTGCAGGCACAACTGTGGGAAGGCACGGGGTGCCACGAACTCCGAACTTAGCACGAGAAACGACGACGACGACGGCGACGCAACGACGACGACGCCGACGTCGACAGGAAAGCACGCACACGAAAGTTGACACACACGCTCGGTCCACCGCGAGAGACACTGTATAAACGCGTAGACGTCTCGTCGCTGGAAGTTACTGATCAAACGAACTCGCTCGTACGGCACGCACACACGCCACGGGGTTGCACGGTTCGCGCGTGGACGGATTCGCGACGGAATTAATTACGAGCGTATACGATGCAACATGTAAAAAGCAAACGGAGCCCAGCGATACGGGCAACAACGACAACGACGACCGCGCCACGAAACACACACCGAGCGAGGCTCGCGAACACTGAGGGCGGCCATGCGATCGCCGCGCCGCCACGCGCTACCAACAAGCATCGTCGACCACGAGACAACGCTGTGCCGGCAGAATGGGGGAAAGTGAACCTTCTATACCAACTTCGTCGTAATTTTTCATTAATGAATTTACGGAGGGTCTCGTAGCTTACCGCTCGGTTACAACTAGCTACGAGTATGACAGATACACGCAGTGCCGCGCTTTTCTAGACGCAAAAAACACCTACGCCTCGGGCACCGATCTACTACTGACGCTAATTGTTCCATGCTCCATTATTCCAACACTTTGCTCATTCAAATATTTCGCTATTCGAATATTATTCAAACACTTCATATTCGTGTGTACATTTCTATTTTATCGAAGAAAGCCTGATACGTTTACATTTTGCAATAAACAGTCTTTCAAAAGTATTCGAAGCTCATTCACAGTATTGGAATATCTCTAGTTCTACTCCATTTGAAACTGAAAGTTCAAATACTGAATTTAATTTATTTTTGGCGCGCTACGCAAACCTCTGCAAATTTGTAAATCATGTTTGTACAATATGAGAAATATATTATATATTTTCAACAGCCTTGTTTTGTATTATTTTTCATTTCACGTGTCACTGTTATCGCACATTAGAGACACAATTTAATCGGTCTCAAGATTCATCGTCTGTGTAATTTCATTAAAAGACTACCCAAAAAAAGATAGATTGTATAATCCATTATCTCGAACCTCGTTTTCTTATCAAAAATAACAAAAAAACACAATATCGCAACTGCTCAGATCCAACTGAATCGAAACCGTAAAGTTCAAAATGGAGATTTAAAAAAACTTTTAAGCTTCCAAGGAGATAAGATACTAAAAATAATTGACGGTAATTTCGGGAACATGAAAATAGTAAATGAAAAGTGACAAAGATATTGTACTCCATATATCATTCCTGTTATCTTCACGACCAAAATGATTCTAAATCGCTAAGCTTCTGGGATTAACAAATCGTCGCGTCAAACTTTGATCGATCGTGAATCACAATTAGTTTCCTCTTCGCATCGATCAAAGATTAAGTAAGAAGAAACTTTATTGTCGCTGAAACTCGTGACGCTGGAAAAACGTTGATCACATAACGAACACGTGATAGTCGACCACACTGTACAACTACATTCTCCAAGCTTATCGTACTTGTGCTCTCTGTATGTTTCCGTACATGTTCTTTTGTTGCTTTAATTGAAGAAAATTATAGATTACGTTGAAATGTTGTCCGTGCTGCACATTATATGCCAAAAATATTAACCACAAGTCATACTCGTGATCGACTTCGAACGCGTACAATGATAATTGCAAACCGCAGTCACGCGAATATTCACCGCTGCGCAGGTCTTCTAAAATGATACCTTATTACGTGCTCCGTGTCTTTTGTATGTTTTTCTCGAGTCTGTTTGTACGCAATAAGCGTTTAATTACTCGATACGTACAATGTTCAACGTAACCCGTTTCGTCTCGATCGTTTCAATTACACATTTCGATCCGTTAAACGCGGCGAACTTTCGAAATAAAGGTCAAATTCAGGCGATTTCCTGTACCCGGAAGAGCTGCTGTTTCAATTAGACGCATCCAGACCGTGCATTGAAATTCCGATGCAAGGGGTTAATTAAAAGTTCGGGCAAACAATTACAGAAATAACGATTCCCGAGCAGTCCCCTGTTTTAGTTTACCGTTGGATAAAACGGCTTCGGGAAACACCTACCTGGAATCTTCAATTTTCTCTGTACAAAAGGACGATCGAAGAAGTTTCAACATTAATGTCCAACCTACGCAGAAAAGGTAGATTCGCTCGAATCCTCTTTAATAAGTTAAACTTCGCGATTGCATCGAGTCGCTGATTATAATTTTTCTTATAGAAAAATAAATAAATTCCAGAACGAAAATTTATAAGAATGCTGTTAACTGTCCGATCGAATGGGATCAAATTCTGTTACAAAGGGCTGGAACTGTCTGCTCGAACTATACCCTGTCGATGGATGGATTCGACCGTCGACGGACGCATCGAGGCGCGAACATTCGAACTGGAGAAGCCCACAGGCTGGAGCATGACGCGAACCACGTGGTATTTCCGAGGCGTCTAGACTCCCTAATTTAAACCGACTCGCGGATCTACCGACGTTTCAGCCCCGTCTAGCCGCTGTCACAACGAACGACTGAAATATGAGAAACACTTTGCGGCACGGGCCAGCGCTCCGAAAAGAGGAGCAGATTTTTTCGCGATGATCGCCACTACGAATCGCCACGTTTGAAAACAAAGGATGCTCGAGGATGGCCTCTTAACGCGTTCCCCGCGGTAGCTCTTTTCGCATACTGCAACGCGTTCGTTGCCACCGGTTGGAAAGCCAAGCTTTATTTAATCCATCGTCTGCTTTTAATTACAGGGAAATTAAATGTATTAAAATGGTCACCTATCGCGCACAACGCGATACTGCTCTTCGATCGATACTTCATTCGTTCAGACGGACATGAACCAGGATGCCATCGCTGTCGCGCGCGTGTGATGGATGACAACGAACTTGTTAATATTTGGACAGTTGGTAAAATGGAATATTTATTGACTACGGCGACTAATGGTGATGGAGAATCTGCTTCGACTATTTTTTCCCATACAATTCCAAGATTTCAACGAGTCCCGTGCCCCTTCGTTGGTCAAATAGTCGTGTAAATGATAGCGGGATTATTTTATGAGAAGAATCATCGAGTCCATGGATTTTATTACGCGCGAGGAAGGAGACACGGTAGAAATCGAACTGAAAAGTCGGTCGAAAATAGAACGGAAACGGTATTATGTTCTACGGTTTGCTAACCCGGTGCTCTCATCCTTTACGCTCGATTGCGGCTTAAGCAACATGCGTCTGCGTCGAAAAGTAGCGGAAACTACCGTCGAGAGATGCATTTATTGGCACGAGCCCAGTGGAGTCGCTTCTCCAGCGTGTCCCTCGCCAAATGTAGCTCCGCGACCGCCGTGTGCGTAATTGTGTCCGCGGAAACGGGGAAACAACGCAGTTTTAAATGCTCCACCCCTAATACGCGTATCAATCCGCGATCTTGCAACGTGGAAAGACCGTCGTGTTACGGATCAGTTCAATGGTCAAAGCTCTTCCGTCTATTGGCTCCTCGCGACGCAAAGGTTCGTTCGTAATATTAAGTCAGGTATATAAACTGCCCTCTGACCCGATCCATCGATCGCAGTGAATTAAGGTCGATTCGTCGAAGAAGAAACGACGCTTTGGCCGAGGCTGCGCCGCGTACTGTCGACTTCTCGTCGATATCGAACCGTTTGGTCGAGGAGCAAAGATTTCGACAAAAATGCTATCGACAGTTTAACGACGGCACTTGGATGGAATTTATCACGAGAACGCGACGAGCGGACATTAAATTCCGCTTTAAGCCCGGGGAAAATAGCCCCGAATGTTTGAAATGTTGAGGGGAAGTTCATGGCGATAATTATATGCCTGGTGCGCAAGCATTCGAGTGGTACGTACGCCTCGAATATGGCCAAATGGATTCGAACAACGACGCGCACTCGGGTTGTACGTAATCGACGAACTCGTGCAGAAAGTACGCGAATTGTTATCAACGTCGAGCTACGCGTGACGTTGCGATTGATGACAGAGGAATTTTAACTAAAAATCGAATCGAACAAAGAAATTCCGTCGAATGGAATTTTGATACGACGATCAAAATATTTGGGGAAGGTTGTTTCGATAAAGATTAATAGCGCATTGCTATCGTAAAATCCGAATTTATGGACGGTGGATTTCAATCTCGTCGCGGGCGTCGCTCGTTTTCAGGGACATTCTTTATAGTCGCCTGCATCGCGTAGAAGCTATCGAGACGATTTATTTAAATACAGATATTTCGATGGGCGTATGAACTCCTCGCGCGGGGATCCGGAATAATCTATTATTATCCGGTATGTTGTGAGCAATTCCAGGAACCGCTCGGTCGAGCGAACGCCGCCCACTTAACCGTATTATTAATTGCAATAAGGAACGAGTGTCGTCGCTGACCCGAATTACGGGACAATTTACAATTAAGTGGCGGAGACGTATAATTAAGGCAAAGTGACGGTGCATCAGCGACAACCGCAACCGTCTAGCGGCAGCTGGTGTTGCACTTACGGCTTCCTTCTGCTTTCACGAGTTCCTAAATGCAATCTGGCCGCAACAAGCAACCGCGGGCCCAAACGAACCCGTTCCGACCTGCGGGAAAATCACTTTCCATGAATTGCATTTGTCGGGGCCTGGCTTTCCCGATTGTCACCGGCGGGAAAAGTGACACGGTCGAATTTGCTACGCGATTGCGCCGCCCCACGGATGCGACTGACACTGCATTCCATTCGCAACGTTTCGACGATACTTGCGCAGCGATGGGTTCGAGACACGTTTCCATCGAAACAAACATCACGATACTTTATAAAAAAAGTGTGTGTATGCCCAAGACGCAAAAAAGATTGTCTTGACATCCAGCACACGAAATTCTCAATGGAAGAATCTCTTTGGGGTATAACGCTATCGGTCAAATTTATTCTCCCTTCGCTATGAACCACTAAATCTTACAAATACAGAAGTCATGGTGTGTTGCAAAGGGCCCCTTTCCAGAGTTATTTATTATTATAGAGAACTGTTAATAACAGTTGAGAGGAAGATTAGAGAAACAGCAGGGGACACACGCATTAGAGGAATTCCACAACACAAACTGTGTGGGTGATGAGGAACAAACAACAGGAGGAAGGAGAAAGAAGGAGGGAAAACTCGAATTTTATCAACCACACAACAAACACATGTGAGGTGCTTGTGTGTGAGGAACAACAAGCACCAGGAAAAGCCAACTCAAGCAACCATCAGAGGAGGCAGAGGTATAACACAAGGCGGTCACCCATCTCGAGGCGCACGCGGCTGAACGCGCTTTACGTGACTAACGGCCGGAGGCGACTCAAACCCATGAGACCAACTCCGCTATTACTATTATAGACTAATATTTTCTATTTTTTCAACAAGAAAATATTTTTATTTTTTAAACACAATAATACACGTTAATTAAAATACTCTACGTAATAAAAAAATATTATTTAGACTTCTAAAAA